ACCATCTCCAATTTGTTATTGATCTATGGAGTTAGCAGTTCAAAAGGCATAATTCTCTCCTACTTTACCTGCATGAGAGGTTTTATCACTTTTGGGGACTTGGGCATTCTTGGAAATCCTTATTCCCCTGGATCAGGCCCACATGAGATTCTTTGGTGGGTTATACATGATCAGTAGGACCTTGCCAGAGATTCCCTAGATTCTCCTAGTTCCCTTCCTTCCTCCCTGCAAACAAACTTTGCCTGGTGGCTAAACAGAGACAACACCATGGCTGGAGTTCCTCTTCCACCTTCCTGACCAGATTTACACCTTTTTGCAGATACTTGGATTCTTGGGAAATATCTAGTCACTGGTCTGACGTTAAGTTCAAATTTAATATCAGTCTCCTGGAACTTTTAGTGATTTTGTTGGGATCTGGATCAGTTCCTTTCTCTTCCCCAGGACAAGTCAGTCATGATCCATTCCTACAATTTGATTATGGTCTCCTACATCATCAGCAGGGGGTACTTGTTCACAGTTTCTAAGTTTTCAAACACCAGACCTTCTGTATTGGGCCCACAGCCAGCAGATTTACCTACAGGCTTGCCATATACTGGGTGCTCTCAATCTGGTCACAGATCGGTTATCTCATCCTTCAATCCACAGGTCTTCCAGTGGCTCTACTCTCAGTTGGATACACCCTGGTTGGAAGTTTTTGCCATCCAGCAGAATACAAAGCTCCATCTTCTTTGGTTTCATGTTCCATATTCTTCAGCTTTAGCACTGGATGTTTTCAGCCATGACTGGAAGAACCTGTATATTTATGCTTATCTTCCCAATCGTCTTCTTCCTTGTGTAATGTCCATCATTCAATCCATTTCGTGTCAAGTACTTCTGATAGCAACATTCTGGCTGGCTCAGACTTGGTTCCCATTACTTCAGCCCCTCCAGTTAACACAACTCTTATCTTTTCCTCTCTCTCCATTTCCCCTTCATCATCCTCATGCATGACAGTTTCATCTATCTCAATCTACACTCTGGCTTCAGCATGGCTTTTGTCCCTTCACTTGTCAGAAGGACCAGTCTTCCCACTCAGGTAGCATCCCTTATTTCCTGTTCTATCCATCCTTCCTCATTATCTGTGTATGAGCATAAATGGCATGTTTATCACCATTGGCCACTGTGCTATGGCCTCATTCTTTCCCACCCTATCCTTCCTTGTATCTCAGACTTCTCTTGATTGTTTGACAAGGGTTTCTCTGTGTCAACCATTGCAGGCTATCATGTTGCCTTACCCTATTCCACCATATTTTCTCTTCTCCAGTCATATCCCTCTTGTTCTAATTCATTTGGATCCTTCATCTTTCCCAACCATCTCCCCTTCCAGATTGGAATCTTACTGTTGTACTACATTCCCTGTACCCTTCCCTTTTTAAATCTTTTGGCATTTTGTTCCTTACCTTAAAAATTCTATTTTCTTCTCCTTTTAGATTTGGGATGTTGTTGGTCAAATGTGTTTGCCAATGATGTCTCACTTATCCTTTACCACAGCACCTATGTCCTCATTTACCCATATAGAGCCTTCCTTCCCAAGAGTTCTGCTGCTCATGAGAGTAATTTCACCTGCCCTCCATTTCATATTTATATTTCTGCTCTGATATGGATTGTCTCTTGTGTCCAGTCTGTGTTTTCCTATTTATGTGGTGTACATGACTTCCTTCTGTAGTTCCTGTTCCTAACTCTTTACCCACTGGAATCATTTCATTCCCAGAGACCTTTCCCCAATTACCCTTACAGGTTGGAATCACCAATTAATTAGTTTGGCATATTCTTCTTTGGCTCTCTGTGACCATCGCCTCTTCCATGTTTCTTCTCACCAAATATATCATCTGCCTCCTGTTGCTGTCTTACATGATATAGTACAACTATGAGTGTGTAAGTTATTTTTACATATATATTTTTCTGTTTCAAGATCCTTGTTATTTGTTTCTTGCTGGATCCAACTCATTGGCAATTGTTACTTGTCCAGGTATACTTATTTTCAAATCTGCACTAAATGGTCTTTTAAAGTCTATAATGCACACAGTTGAGATGGGTGTTCCACAAGACCATTTGTAAGTTCTTCCTCATGGTGTTGTGCATCAGAAATATGTTTGTCCCAGACTGTACACTCATGAACCAGCATGAGTGAAGCAGAAGAGGATCATTGCTGATCCTTACTGATCCTTAAATTTATGAACCCGGGATCTGTCTGCTTTACAAAATAGGGTTTGCAGTCACCCATTTGCACTGTTTCCAGTGCTGCATTCCTCCAGACTCTCCAATGCATTTTCCACTCCCACTTCTAGTGGAGTATGGGAGTACTAACCACTTACCAGTTCCTAGCCATGGAAGCTTCCTCTTGAGTGTGTTTTGTTCTACTCAGTCGAGAGTAGGGCAGTGGTGTTCTGCTGATGTAGATGGTGTAGAACCCTCCTTCTACTGCAGCATGGATTGTTTCTCCTGTTGCTGCCTGTTTATGGACTGGAGATGACTCACCAATAATGGTTCAGACTGTTCATCATACTGCTGCCTAGATGTGGATTGGGATTAGAGATGAACTAACCAACATAAGTCCTCACAAGTAAGGTGAATGGTAGAGTACCTTGTTCCTACAGCTGGATAGAAGACCCGTTTCTGGTACCACTGATTTTTGATAAATTGATCTCCCACATTGGTAGACAGCCTCTGGCTTTCTGGGGATGGAACAATTCAATCCTGGTCCCAGTGATTCTGAGAATTGAGTTGATCTCCTGATTGCAGTCTGGTGTCCCATCATCATTTTATATTAGGGGCACATCTGAAATCAATTAGTTGAGGACCTCATCATTCCAGGGACTGGAAGTGTCATTCCCAGTCCCAACAGTTTGAAGATGGAGTTGATTTCTTTATTGGTTGAGGACCTCCTCCTTCTGGGGACTAGGTGTACCAATCCCTGTTCATCAGTTAAGGATGGTGTTGATCTCCCAGTTATGGTCTGACATGCCCTAGTTGCTCTAACTTCTGTTAGTCCAGGACCTCCTCCTTCACAGGGACTGGATATATCTTTTCCAGTTCCATCAATTTGAGGATGAAGTTGTTTACACGGCTTCATCCAGACTTGCTCTGTGTCTCTAACTCTGGGGCACTTTCTACTATTTATCGTATGTGCCTCTTTTCTGGCCATCTAGCGACAATGTTTTTCTTCAAGGGCAAAGAATATACCTGTTTCAAATGTGGTACAATCTGCCACGAGTGCAGTTCCTCTTCACAGAGATGTCATACACCTTGAGCTCTCTTTATACGTATTCTGAATGGGGCTAATCTAGGTAATGTTACAGATCACCAGATCAAGTGGGGTTCTAGCTTTTATGTGAGAAGAGGTGAAGTATTGGATCAGAAGTTATCATTTTCCTACACATAAAATGTATTTCCAATAGACACCTCTTCTCACCCTTCCTCCCCACTTCCAGTATTTTTATTCTTGGTATCTAATCTTAAAGTGAGGTTAGACTATAATTCAGTGTGTGTGTGTTGCACTCTTATTAGTGGAGGGTTGTCTCATGATTATGTACATGCTAGAACACAACTGAACCATGTTAAGCACATGTGGATAAGTGGGAGTATCGAGGCTAATGGTGAGCAAAACATTTTAGCATATAGAGGGCAGTAATAATCAAGAAAAGCTTTCATGTGAGAGGAGGTAAGTGTATATATGAAATACATTTTCTGTGTAGGAAAATTATAACTTTTAATATTCTCTCTCTCTTGATAATTAAAGAAATTAAATTGTAGAATGTTTTTAAATTGTATACAATATAACAAAATTACAGATAAAAGGGGATATGACAACTGAATCATTTGTTATTTTTTATGTTGAAGTAGTTGAATAGTGTTAACTGTACTTATAGGTTAACCTGTCATGTTTATTTGATAACATTCAATGCACTGTGATGAAAAGTTCCCTACCACTGTTAACATCAAAAATTGCTTAATGAATTTCATTCTCATTAAATTCCTGTTCATTTGTGCAAGTTTTTGCTAAGGAAAGGAATTTACTGGTGTGTTTCTATATAAATATTGTAAGAGTAATGTAATTATTACTTAGTTATTTAAATGGAGTTGCTAACACTATATTATGTTCATATCTCAAGTTTTCATTATCACCTGTCTTATTGTCAGGTTTTGTTAAGTAACCAGTTTGATGCAATACCATAATTATAAAAGTATATTATATTAATGAAGGAAGCCATTTAAATGTTCTGTAAAATCACATCAGTAACACATATATTAATAAACTGAAACAATATTAAAAATAAATCTTAGCAGACTCACTTTGAATACATGCTGAGTTGTTAATGAATACAAGATCATCCCAAAGCACATACAGAACTCACAAAGTATATGTTCAAAAGAAGCTATTCTGATGTTAGCCAAAGTTCTTTTGAGGTCATTGTTTTATAATCTTTGTTTCTAGAAAAACAATTCAAAGGGAAGATGTTATAGGAGATTTTTACCAAAGTTTGTCATGGTTCATTGATTACAATGCTTTATCTGATATGCTGAATTATTTATAAAATCTTTATTTCGGTTATTTCTGTGTTGCTATATTAAATTATGTTAAAATTGATGTAGAAAGTCACTAAAATAATATTTTAGTTGACTGAAACTGAACGTAGGATTAATTTTTGACTTCATTATCAAAATCACAAGTGATAGAATTTGTGTGTTTGAAACTGTATATTATCTATGATAATAAACTGTTTGTATATTTTAATATTATTCATTATTATTGTTTATTTGCTCTAATATCTTGAATGCTAGATTTTAAATGTGTTAAAATCGTATAAAATAATAGATTAATTCATTAATAAAAGATGCTCATAGTTGGAAATAATAAAATTCAGAATTTTATGAGTGTTATCCATTAAGTTGACATGTTACTAAATACCTCTACCATTAACATGCCACATAAAAGTAATATATTTAACATTTTACACAAGGTTGATGGATGCACGTTTTCTTGAGGATGAAACAATACCAGATGGAACCCACATGCAACCAGGGACAAAATTCATTAAGAAATGGAGAGTTCAGAACACAGGGTCTAAACCTTGGACATCTGACACAATGGTGAGGCACTTGGGTATTATTATTAACTTTCATTTACTACCAACAGTCAATACAATATTCCTTAGTTTAGGTAAGTTACGGTCTTTCTAACATGTAACAGAGAAAAGAAACATACTTGCTCAACTATGAGAAGAACAACAAAGAAACACAACACCTATGTAAACACTAGCACCATTGCTTTGGCTCTTTTGAAATTTAAACTACCAATCCTGGGTTGATTTGATTGAGTTCTGTTTATCTTGAATGAGAGTTCTTGATGTTACAGTATAGTGTAAGATCAGAGAGGGGTGCAAAAAAAGAATGTGTGACTTCTTCACTTTGCAGTCTGCTTCCCCTCCACATACATTAGAATAGCAATATTGCATTTTTTATAGCTATATATATATTATATTTTCTGTAAGTCTGATCATATAAATAATCAGAATTATGTAATTCTGATCACACATATATATATATTTTTTTGTCTTGTAATTAACTTGTTTACATTAGAATATGTTTTTAGTATATGCTTTGTGTAGATAATAGTATGAAGTATATTCACAAGGTTATGCTCTGTGTCTTGTTCATTTGTAAATAAGCCTGAGTAGTTAATGTTGGTACTATGAAAAGAAAAAAAAACTAAAACAATATCTAGTGTTCAATAAGCATACCAATGTCTTTAAGTTCTGTATAAAATTGGTTATGATAATAATAAAAGTAGTAGCTAGCAATTGTTCAACTCATTCTATTCTCCCAAGTTTTATAAGGTGATTGATGTAAGTATCTAATTAGGTGGGCTGGAGACTAGTTATTATGCACCATATGAACATATTTGAAATAACTACATTATATATATATTTAGAATTTTTCTTAGTCACTGTAATAATGTATCGGAACTTGAGGTTTATTTTACAGCAGTATGTTAAGTTTAATAGAGCAAGTTTTGTAAAAAAATATTTTTATAACCCAGTTGTGACATTACATAGTTAATTCAAATTATCCACCAATGGTTACTGTTATTGAACTATACAAAAATCATTGTACTGCCTCAGAAGTTCCTGACCTAACATACGTGTTTATTGTATTCATCTGTAGCTGAAATACCACTGGGGTACAATGGGACTGGTTCCAGATGGTACCAAGGTAAGTGTACCGCCACTGGAAGCAGGCGAGGAAGGAACGTTAGCTGTACAGTTTACAGCTCCCTTAGAACCAGGACGATACCAGAGCCACTGGAGGCTATACCATCATGGTCGAGGTTTTGGTCACAGGATGTGGTGTAATATTGAAGTAGATCAGCCCATTATACTGGAGTCTAAGTGCAGTCAGGTGTGTGTGTATTCATGTCGTCAGCAAACAAATTAGCCATTAGTAAACACTGGCCTGTGTGTATGTGTGGAGATATTACTGATGATTATATAGAAGGAGCAGTTCAGTTAAGTTATAATATTAATTATAGAGTAATTGTTTTTATCACGTCAGAATCCAATGTTCTATTTAAATGTAATAGAAAAGTTACTTGTGATGCTGATAATCCAATCTTTAATGTGTAAATGAATCACTTTCTCCTTATTAGTCGAGTGTTTCCTTCTAAACCTAGTTTTTAATATAGGAAAATTGAACCTCTTCAATGAACAGATAGGTTTTCTTCTAGATTTGTAATAATTTTATTTAATTAGCTATAGTAGTTTTTTCTAAACCTTGAACTGTACTACTTATGGAAGACACCTAGACTGTTTGGTGAATTTGGCCACATGTTCTTCCTTTGGTAAACACCACATCTATCACCTGAACTCCAATACCTTGGGATAACACGTAGAATGTTTGGTGAAGTTGGCCACATGTCCTTCCCTTGGTAAACACCAGGTTTATCACTATGAACTCCACTACCTTGGGAAGACACCTAGAATGTTTGGTGAATTTGGCCACATGTTCTTCCTTTGATAAATGAATGCTTACAAATTATACAATTCCTAGAAAAAATTGTTTGGTGAAATGCTATCTTTGGTGTTTACCAAGATAAGGTCTTGTAGCTAATTTCACCAAACATTCTAGGTGTCTTCCTTAAGTAGTAGAGTTCAAGATGATAGATTTGATGTTACCAGTGTGCTTATGTAAGTGCATTTACTAGTTTGTAAATTAACACACCTGCTTCTTCGAAACTTTTTATAACAGGTACCAATAAAATGTTAAAAAGCTTTAGTCCTTGAGTCCTAGTTGTGCATAAAACCCAAGTAACCAAAAGCTTAAACAGCATTTGATTAAGGTTGTGCAAAGGGCAAATCATTACATATCTTTTACTTGTTCAGTGTGTTCAAATGATATTTTTTATGTAATAGTAGTATTAAATTAAAAATATGATGGCCACAGAATTTTAAGTCATAGAGAGGTCATACTGACAAATTGTAAACATTGAACTTTGGTAGTACTTAAACAGGTTAATTTTCTTGCTATGGATAGGTAAAAGTGTGTTACATCATTCAATACTATAACTTGTGCTACACCTTTAGCATGTGATTTATATCTTGTGTTGTGAGATTATTAGTTAGGCATGTTTCAAAGAGAAATAAAACAATAAAATTAAATAAAAGCAGATTTAAACTGTTACAAGTCTTTAGGATAAATAATTGTGATTTTTACTGTTACAATCTGCAATCATTCTGGAAGGGAAAAAAAGGATAACTTAGATTAATTTCAAATTTGTTGTGGTGGTTACAAGGTCTGTCAAATCAAGTGAACCCTTGTAGTGTTAGGGTAGAAAAATGATAGATAAAATATAAAGTTTTGCTGAAAAAGCATTTGATATTCATTTAGAAGATTCTAGCGATTATGTAAATGAAATTTGAAAACTGTAAGATAAATAATGTATTCTTATCTTAACATGAAAATTACCTTGCACTCAGACTAGTCAGAGCCTGAGTCAGACTCTGACTTCACAAATCACAGACAAATCTGTAATGAAAAATACTTAATTCAAAAATCTAATTTTTTGTGTACAAAACACTTGTAATGTTTACTAAATGCTTGTCTAAATTTGTGAAGATAGGCTTACTACGTTAAAATTTATATTACACTAGCTGAGTTACCCAGTGTTGCACAGTGAAAATTTAGATATGAAATGTATAGATCAGTATTTTTTTCAGCAAATTATTCAGTAAGTAGATAAAAGCTGTGATGCAAGAAATAAAAAAGCATTTAATCAAACAAAGCTTTATTTGAAATTAGATCGTGTTTGAGCTTGTCTTGTTCTTTGAGCCTGAAG